GTAGTAAAGAGCCTTGTCCAGAAAACTTCTGAACATCTACAAGGGCAGAGATTCTTCAGCCTCTCTGGGCACCTGTTCCAGCACTGAATTACCCTCAGGGAAAGCTGTTTTTATCCTTATGTCCTATCAGAATGTCCCCAGCTGCAACCTGTTTGCATTGCCTCCTGTACTATTGTCGTGTTCCTCTGAGAAGAGTCTGTCTCTGATGCCTCCCTAACACCACCTTTTACAAGATAGCAACTAGATTGCCCTCAGCCTTCACTTCTCCAGGCTGAACAAACCCAGCTTCATCAGCCTCCCCACACGTCACATCCTTCCGCCTCCAGCCATCGTAGTTAACCACCTACCTTCTCCACTATAGTACACAGCTTAATTTATATCTCAGTAATTACCCATCTCTTCTAACTCCTTACTTTTAAATAGGGGAGGAAATAACGCATGGACTGCCTCTCTTCAGTCTCTCTATTTGCTATTTTGCCTCACAGCTGTGGACTCAAGGCATCTGGGCACTGGTTTTTTTTAATCTGGCTCACGTTAGGATTGGCCAAGTAATTCTTCTCCAGAAAGAGGGTAAAGAACACATGCTCTTGCATCCAGGACTTCTGCTTCTCGAACAAAACAGCCCTCAAAAGATACAATACATGAACATAAAACTGGACCACAGAACCCCAAGCTGTGAACAGCCCAGCTATTAAAACACAAATATATTCTCTGCCAAACCCTTGAGGAAAAAATAATGCCTCTTTTTTGCCTAACATACTTCCCACTCCCCATACTTCCCCAAAAATCCCCTTTTTTTCTTTTCTCTGTTTGCCACTCTGGTTGCTGCACTTGCCATTTGCCAGTGCTGAGGACAGAGGACTGAACAATACCACTTTTACAGCAAAGAATAAAGGAAGGACAACAGGATATTTGGATCTGCTTTCTGCCTCTGCTATTACTGTCTAGAGCAACAACCCTATTGGATGGGTGCTGCATATCCACTCACAGCACTGGTGGTGAGCCCCACAAAAAATGTACTGGAAAGAGAGACGCAGCAAACACAGACTGACAAAAGCCTTACGAGTCCCAGCTGATGTGAGACAGAAACCAGCAGGGAAAGGGAAGAGCTTTTCTATTTATTATTTGTTTCTCAAAATCTCCCCTTCCCAGATGAAGGAAAGGGCAACAGGTACTCAGTAAATAATTGTTTTAGTCTGAAATATCAGAAATCCAACTGGGTTGTTTTCCACACCTGAGTTTAATAAATGTGAGAATGGGTTTCCATGGCATGGCTGCTAAGCTGGAATCTGCAAACACAAAAGCCCAGACTAATTAGAAGCTTATAAATAATTAAGGCAAATAAATAAGTAAATAAATGGACGCTCACAAGATCCTAGCTTCACAACACATTTGGCTGGGAAAGCCCCTCCTCTTCAGCTCACAAAAGTCTCATGTTCAGAAAACGTAGCCAGCATTCTGTAACTCTCATATGATTTATTAGCAGAGAGTGCTCCTCAAACCTTTGGCGGCCTGGAACAAGCAAAGAAAATGTGGCAGGCACTGACCTGCCCTTGACTCAACGCTAGGTGTCACTTTTGCTTAAGAAATGCAACAGGGAAGTTTAACAGTTTCAAAAAACTGGCTGTCCAGGATCTGTTTCTCAGTGGTTCTCTGAATCTATAACTCTGACTAAAACCATGGACAATTACTGAGTGTCAAGATACAAATGTCTCAAATAAGGCATCCAAAAGCAGCAGAAAATATCAGACAAAGCATAATGGTGATGGCGGAAGGTTTCTCCCCTTATCTCCTTGCCCAAGCAGGGAAATACAGGCCTGGGAGTAAGTAAATAAGGGGTCACCATACCCAGAAGCTCCCAAAGAGTCGCTGACAAAGCAGCCCGTCTCCATTGCCGCTTGGCCTCTGCTCCAGGTGGGAGAGAGCTGTTCTGCCACTCTCTACCCTTTTGTAGGAGCTGACTTGCCTGCCAAAAGATTTCTGAGCATCAGGGCTTGACTCAGAGGAGGAAGAGGAGATATGGCATTTTTATTTAGGGCCCCGAGGCAGGCTAGAACAGGGAAGAAACACTGGAATACAGTAGAACTAGGAAAGTTCCAGAAGCAGGGGGTACGGAGGTAGGGAAAGGGCTCCTTCTGGAGAGAAACGGACTATGCTAGAACTCTCCTATTTAGAAAGGAGACACTAAAGAAGGGTGTGAAAGAGGTTTAATAAAACTACGGAAGGGTGACCCCAACACCAATCATTTGCAATTTCTTACAGTAGCAGAAGTAGAGGGCTGAAAAGGAACAATCAGCAGGCTTAAAACAAACAAAACACTTTGGATATCTAATACAGTTCATTTGTGCAGCCATGGGACATTGCAGAGGCCAAAAGCACCAATTGGTTCAAAAATCAACATGACAGTCATAGAAGATAAATTCACCAAGCGTCATTAAACAAACGTATAGATAGAACTTCTGGGTCAGGTAGTCTTTAAGCAGTGGATTCCTACAGAACATGAGAGTATCCACTATAGGCTTATTCTTACACTTCTTCCATGAACACCCATATCTGCTCACTGCCCCACAGCATTGCTCTAGAAGGACGGGTCTAGGCCCATTCTGAACTGAAAGGACTTCTACACATACAGGCAAAACAGGGAGGAACCTAGGGAGCTCAAACGAGAGATCAGAGGGTTATAATTCAAGAAAACCCAGGATCATAACGAAGCTCAGAGGCTCAGGATTAGGAAACAGCGATGGGAATGCAGAGAATACACTGGCAGTGCATCCTTCTTCCCGACATAGTATAGAAGCTAATGAGAAGCACTGTGGCTAGAGGTAAAAGTACCTCAAAGAATAGAAATTTTTAATTTGGTGGTACCTCTCCAGTGAGCATTGATTACAGCCCACACCATGAGACAAGGTAATCTAGGACTTCTTGAGGCCTTAGCAAGCAAATAAATAAAACGTTGAAAGCGGAAACACACTAGAAATTGAGCAAGAAGTAGTGGTGAAAGAACACATACTGGACCATACTTTGACCACATGCCCAGTGCTCCATGAAAAAGTCTAGTTTGTATCCAGTGATGCCCATGAAATTGGTAAAGAAGAAGGGTCTGCTGCAGTTCCTTGCACGATTTCAGTGGTGATAGGTCACGCCACTGTTTTATATGCCAGAGGAGGTACCAAAAGGTGGGGAGATATAAATGGTTATGCTCTGCAATTTCTAAGGCCCTGGGCAACATGATGTAGCATTTAAGTCAGGTGTGCTGTGAGCAGAGGGTTGGACTACAGACCTCCAAAAGCTTCTCCCTATCTTGATCTTTCTGCCAGTCTGAAATGCTCAGTGCCTGCTACCTACCTCCACTCTCTTAGCGACAGGAGGATGTGGCTGGAAATGCGGACTAGGCCCTGCACCCTCCCCCACTTCAAGCAGAGGATCAAGATACCTACAGAGTCCCAGTGTAAGTCTGGTCTGGAGGCAGTCAGAGATAGGGCTGCTGAGGGCAGGCAGAAGGTGCTGAAATGATACCCAAGCACAAATGAGATCGGCCAGCTGCTAACCAACATGCTGTCCAAAAGATCAAGCCTTAACAGGACATGGTTAGACACAGTCCAGACCAAGGCAGCTTGACCTCTTATCCTTCACTCACCCCTAGGAGGAGAAAGAGAGAGCAGTGTCTAGGTGAAGAGCAGACCTCAATAATAGCACAAATGCTAAAGGGAGGGGAACCACAGAGAAGTTAGGGTGGCTCAAGGGCTATTACTATGATCTCTCTTCCTCCTTGTTAGTGAAAGTATCGTTATAGGAGCCCTGTCCATAGGTCAGGGTCTAGTCAGGGGACTAGAAGCAGTGACTGGAAAGAAATGATTTAAGGCAGGAAGGAGGGGAATAAACGAGAATGATTTACAGAGAAAGAGAAAAAGTGGTGACAACCACTCTAGCTCCAGGGGCAGGAGGGGATATGTGATAGGGAAAGACACCAAGCACAAGGTTAAGAGACTCAACCAAATGGCAAGGGAAAAGAGACTCAACCAAATGGCAAGGGAAAAGAGACTCAACCAAATGGCAAGGGAAAAGAGACTCAACCAAATGGCAAGGGAAAAGAGACTCAACCAAATGGCAAGGGAAACCAAGACAACCAGGGTGCCGTGGAAGAGAGAAGCATTAAATGGTACCTGGGGGTGAGAGAAGTAAAGGCAAAGCTGTGATAGTGGGAGTGTGAATGAAGAGAGGAACGTGGCTCAGCAAGGAGGTAAGCAGAGGAAATTTCTTGGTGAGAGGGGCAGAGCAGAGAGCTGCATACAGAACCACCTTCATGGGAGCCAGGAGGAATTTAGGGAAGGGAGAACAACACCTGGACAGGAGGCAAGGAACAGCAGAGGCACTGACACTACCTTTTACTGGACAGAGAAGAATCTGGCAGAAGGGTGGAAACCAGTAAAAAGCAAAAGCAAGGGAAACATCCTTGACCAAGAGCACAGTGTGTGAGGGGGGGGGGGCAGAAGCACCATTTTCCTGCCTTTTGGGGAATAGGAAGCAGCACTTGTTTTGCATGTGTCATAGCAATTCCAAAACAGTGCATGTTGGTTTTGGTCCAATGCTGCTGTCACAGGCTGAGGGGCACAGGGGGAGCTAGAGGATCAGAAAATATACAGCAAGAACAGCTCCCTGCCTACACTTTCTGCTCCTGATTGTTATGGTAGAGAGGATACAGTGAGAAAAAAAACAAGCCTGTGAGGCAGTGGTATGAGGAAACAGGTGCCTGGTGGAGGAGGAAGGGTAAGTGCTCCTTGCCTGCCCCTGGTTCTTAAAGCGCCGATATACTTTAAATACCACTTCCCTCACGGCAAACTTAATTTGCATGTGAACTATCAATAAAACAAAACCTGTGTGGAAAAGGGAGACAGAAACAGAAGGGGATGCTGATCCATCTCTTGAATTCCAGTGGGATTATACCTCCAGACATCTAATTACCCACCGTATGCAGCTCCAACAGATCACAGAGAGAGAGATCGTTTTGGCAATTTTAATTTCCCCCCCTTTATATTATACAAAATATTTTACAATTAAAAAACCATTTTCCCCAACAGAATCATATACAGATATTTATAATTAACAAGATTCAATTACAAGCAGGATGGGAAACTTCTGCACAAAGGAGAAACAATGACAGATGATCATGTGAAAATTAAGACTTGACCCTCTCCCCGCCTCCATGTTCTGAGAGAGGGTTTTACATTTTAGACTCTTATTCCCATCAGAGTCCCTCAAGTCTGAAGTCTAGGATCTCCTCTTACCCCTATGGTCTAAGGGCTTCCACCCATGTTCACAGCATGAGTACAGCAGCATGCTCTGCTCTGAAAAGACACCAAAACACTCAGAAACTAATGTGTGGCTGTACCGTAAAGTCACTAGTACCCAGAAGAGGGAGCTGCTGCTCCCAGCTTTCCCTAGCAACTCACATATACACACATGCACTCACATACATGAGGGAAGCATGCTCGAATCCCAAAATTTGTCATACTTTCATCAAATGGCAATTCCACCCCACCAAAGCAACCTGCACTCGTGACATGTCCAGCAGACAGTCCCTGCAGGTTATTGTAAGGTTTCAAAGCCATGCTGGACGTTACTGCAAATGCACAGTCTGGCAAGAGGGCTGGAGGTTGCCATTTCCCTACTTTGATTATCTGCCTACCAGCAGAGGGTCAGTCAGCCATGGAGGTGATAACATGAACAGTTTGGAGATGCTCAGGCCTCAACAGACGAGTAGTGGAAGTTGCACTCTTCAACAGGAGGTCCTTCAAAAAACTGGTTGCCAATGATCTGTCCTACCAGAGCGAAGATACATGGGAACCCTAGTAAACATTTTCTCCCTAGGGTAGGTCACTGCTGGGCTGGGCCAATCCTGCACTCACAGGGGAGCCCATCCCAGAGTCACTGCTGGAGGCCAAATGCCTGAAGCAGTGTGGGAAGATCATGGGCATCAGCTGCCCCATACAGATCACTCTGCCCCAGCATGGAGAGGGCCATGCGGAGGGTGCTCCAGATGTTGTCAGACATAGCGCCTTGCTGCCCGCGTGGGCCTCGGCTCTTCTGCTGCATATGCAAAGCCTCTAAGAAGTGCTCCACAGCCTCACTGTCAACATGAGAACACATACTTTCTTACTGGAGAAGATACATCACGTACTTCCTTCCCCACTTCCTCCTGAACCACCTCCTCCTCCTGTCCCAAGCACTTTCCCCCTTTTCATCAGACCCTGCCCCGCTCCAGAACTGTCAGAGATCCCCCTTTTGTCTCTTAATGGAAACCGAAGTCCAGATGCTCCCTGTTCTAACTGCTACTGCCCGACACTTTTCTCAGGGCAGTCCTCAAACAGACATGCTCTGCTCTCCAGCGCCAAGGGAAGGCTGCATGCAGCACACCACTGCCCCAGTAACCTATTGCAGTCTCCCTCCCACAAACATATGCATGCTTACGGCCCACAGCAGATCTGCCCACCCCGACTCACCGGTGGGCGCCTAAGTTGATGCAGCTGATGCCCAAGTTGTAGCGAGACCGGATATATCCTGGCTGGAGCTCCAGTGCCCGGCGATACGCAGCCACAGCTTCCTCACTCCTATTCCCATTGGCCAGGGTGGCACCAAGCTTGTTCCATAGAAGATGGTCCTGGAGGAAGTGGCAGAGAGAGACTGAGACAAACTGATCTCTAAGCCAACCCTCCCTTCCCACAGTACCTGACTTAGATCCAAAAGATATACCCCTCAGATAAGCGGTGCCTCCACCCCACACTTCACCCATAAACCTCCAGGCATCCCCCCAGAACATCTCTGCTCTGCCATTTCTTACATTGGGGCGCACGCTGAGTGCAGCACTGAAGCAATCCACAGCCTTCTCATACTCGCCACTCAGGTTGAAAAGGACACCCAGGCCACACTGCACATCAGGATCCACAGCTGAGGGGTTGCTGCGCACAGCTGCCAAGAACAGCTCTTTCACCTCCGTGAAGAGTGAGCTAGGGAAGCACAGAACAAGAGTATTTGTGTATTGTGAAGTAAGCTGACCTTGGGTTGCCCGATCTGTTCCTGCTCAGCCAAGTCCTGGCCCTTGAAGAAGCCTTTCAGCTAAAGGCTGAAATTTATACCCCTAACTCACTCAGACAACAGGGAACTCAGCGCACGCTTGGGAGGCCCAATGTTTGTCCCCGAGACACCCCCCTCTGGTTCCTTCTCCAGCAGGTGGGCATAGGCTGGTTTATTGCGTAGCCAGTCTCGCAGGGTCTCACATGCTTGCTTCTGCAAAGACTCGTTGGTGAAGCTGACTGCTAACGCCATTAGTGCAGTGAGGTTCCCAGGCTGCAGTTCTAAGCACCTGCAGGCCAAAGAAAAAAAAGTGACTACAGTATTAAATCAGGATGGGAGACATTCAGATATAGGAGGTAACACAATCAAGATAAAACGCATCACATTGCGCTTTATCAAGAAGACTTTCTGCAACACTCACTGTCTGAGGGCACTGATTGCCAAGAGCTCCTGTTCATTCTCTGCTTGGGTGGTTCCCAGATATTGCCAGGCCTGGAGGAGAGGAAGATGCACCAAGTCAGACTTCTTCAGATCCACAGAAAAAGATCAGCCCTCCAACCACAGGCACAGAGATTAAATCCGTCATATTATCCCACAAATCGGTGAGACCGCTCCCACACAGTGGGACCAAATATATACAAGTCAAGCATACACACCAGCCATAGATGTCCCCAAGTTTCCCTAGAAAGACATGCAGGCTTTACGGCCCATAGGCCCTCAAGGCCAATAAAACTGAGGTTATTTTAGTGAACAGGAGAGGTGAACGACTGCTTAGAGACCTATTACAAACCAACTGTTGGCATTTCAGCCCGGTAGTCACAGAAGCTCCACCTTGAGCATCTAACTGTGGCCCAATTGCAGAGGAAGGAGGGAAAAGCAGACCTCCGACTTCATAAGAGCAAAACAGCCTAACAGCAGGGCTAATGATAAGGAGACCCCCGAAGACAGACAGCTGTATACGCTATATACGCTCATGGAGTGGTCCACAGCAAGCAATGATGTCGGGGAAGTTACTTGGGGAAGCAGCTGTGAGACCTGAAAGCAGAAACACTGTTTGATTGAATCATCAATCATCGCCACACCTGTACATCAAAACCACTTCCATCTCCAGGCTGCTGACATAATGAATATTTAAGTAAGGCACTAAATCCGAGTAAGCACCTGATCACTTTATGTTGATAACCTCACCGCTTGCTCAAAAATAGACTGGATAGTTGGCTGGACTATCAGCATGAAGTAGCTGCTTCTTGAACTTAAGTCATGTAAAATGCAGTATCCACTGTCTTATGGAAGGAAATCTTTAGCATTAGCAAGTCAGTATCATTAGCAAAGACCCACACACACTGCAATAGCCTGCAAAAGCCAACACAAGGAAGAGAGGTGATCTGCTGCCTCAAATCTCTACTACCTCACTTTGCAACAAGCTCCCACACAGAGCTGACCAGTGATAACTGCAGTGTTCTGAGGGCAGAAGAGATGAGATTCAAGGTAAAGTTGTGATCTGAACCAAAGTAACTATTGCATTTCTTTCGCAGCAATAAATTGTAGAAGTCTAGAAAGTCAGATGCCTGTATCCTCACATGCCAAGAACCTCTGTTCTGAGAGGTCAAACTCAAATCTAAGCCTCAGAATTAACAAACTAGGTATTTCTCATCATATACAAATAGCAGGGCTTGAATCAGACACGCTCTGAGAATCCAGCATCCCTGGCTCCTTGAGGCAAGCACTCCAGAAGTGGACAACACGGGTGGGTTTGCATTCCTCCTCTTTCCTCCTGAGAATGATATCCATGTCTTCTGCCTCTGCAGAAAGGCACACAGACTATTCCATTTCTCAGTCCCTCCTGTAGAAGCTGAATTGCTTTATGTAAATAATTATTCACTGAATTAGAAGCTGGAACCCCCTTTTCAACATAAAAATTATTCTCTCTGGTCCATAGCTTGACATGAAGACAGTGAAGACACCCAAACCATCTCTCTCAACTGTTTTGGGTAGATCCTTCACATACCAGGAGAGGATGTTAACCAGGACCCCACATTTTATGAACTGTTTAGAGTTAGTCTTTAATACAGATATTAAAAGCAGCCATCATCACCACCAAAAGCATCCCCATACCTACAGTGCCAATGAAGATTTCCAGAGAAGCAACTTAAGATAGGAACACCCCTTATCGCACATCACGCATAGTCTCTTCTGGTCCAAAGAATTTACACAGCTTTGGTCCAGAAGGCTTTGTGCTTTTTGAATCTGACCTAAGGCATAAAACTTCTTCCCCGCAGCCCTCCTTGCATTTGACATACGTCAGCCACATACCCAGAGCCACAGAAAACTGAGATGTTTCTATACAACCTACACAGCTCCTAACACTGAAGTGAGTTTTCTACACGCAACCTGAGACCTCACAGGAAAAGGAATCAAGTAGCAAGATAGCTGGCCCAGGCCCAACAGCTTTGTTCCCACTCACTTCCATATGATCCGGCTTCTGTTGCACTGCAGCTTCAAACAGGAGGACAGCATTGGGGAGGTCTCCTTCCTCCAAGCGCTTCCGTCCTTCTTCAAATGCCTCAGGGTGATCTCTCATGGGATTATCTTCCTCAAACTGGTAACCCTGGCAGGAAAGATAAGCCTGGAGCTAATATGAGGGGACAAGCTAGGAAGAGAAGCACTCTCTAAGGGGCACTTCAGTCTGGTCCGGCCCCACCAGAAACACTCAAGCTGAAGAGAAGCCAGCACCTCATCCACTCTGCTAGCTGGGAGCCTGCTGAAGAACAATGGCTCTTCTTCCTGCCTGCTCTGCACTGAAAAATCCCCCAAATGTGGGACTCTAGCAGACCTAGAATAAGTTGCAATAGTGACTGAGCAGCTGGTGTGGGTCCTGCTGGCTCTGGGTTGGGGTGGGCAGTGCAGAGAGTTAAGTGTGCTCGTTCCAAGGAATCCCAGCATGAACTGGTGTTTGGTGTGGGGCAAGAACTAGACCACTTCTGCACAGCAGCACAAGAACAGTACTTATTTAAGACCTGGCTGATCCAGGCTGAGGGTGCAAACAACAGCAAAAGATCAGTGTAAGGAAGAATCCTAACAGCATTTAGGGTCTGAAGAGCTCACCTGGGAGGCAAAGAGCCTGCCAGCTTCTTCAGGGCAGCCCATCACAGGGCTAGGAGACCTTGTTCTCTATTACCTTGTCATATGAAGAGGAGCTTAGGTCTTCATAATCAGAGAGCCAAGGGTGAGCTTCTGCATCTCTCTTGGCCATCTCCTCCCATTCTGCCTGGAGTTTGTCCCAGAAGTCCACATCTGACTGAAGGGAGAACAGAAGGCCACTAGAGCACCTCAAACGGTAAGTGAGCTCTAGAGACATGCCAGGGTACACCCTCTTAGAATGTTTAGCCCTCCTCACAACATGCAAAGAAGAGGGGTAACCCTAACATGGGCTCTCTGTTGGTACCCCAGCAGCCCTCCTCCAGCTTTACCTCCACAGCAGTCTTTGCCTGCTCAAATTCCGTATCAAGAGTTGACATGTTCCCAGATTGCGCAAATTGATCCACCCAGGCATCGGATGCCCCCTGGGAGTTTGGAAACAGAAACACACTTTTCTTTTTAGAATCTGGCAACCTCAGGGCACATCCCAGAACAGCAGAAGGGGCTGTGACAACCTCTCCTCCCCATCAGCAAGAACTGATGGCCTGTACAACAGAGGAGTTCTTTTGGGTTCTCCATTCCTCCCAGATGCTATGTGAGATGAGAAGATTCACACTGCCCGAGACCTTCCCAACTTCTGGCTAGACTCTGCTATGAAGAGACCAGCAGTCTTGTGCCCCTCGCCTCCTCCCAGGCTAGTCAATAGTAAAGCATTGCTGAGAGTTTGACTCGCCATTCTCCCTAGCTCCCAGATTGTGCACTGAGGCAAAGAACTTTCCACCTTGGGTGCACATACAGCTTGGCTCCTACCTGCTGCTGTATAAACTCAGCTGCCCATTGCTCTGCCTGATCTTGGTCTCTGAGGGTCACCTGATTAGCTTCGATCGATACCCTCCCATCTCCGATCTGGCGAACAAACTTTAGGAACTGTGGCAGAGAAATGAGACAAGGGTGGAGCTGGGCAGATGCTTTACCAACAATCCCTCTGCCCATGCCTCCCCTTCCTCACTAAGGGGATTTCTCTCTGCAAAGTGAGCACAGAAAGCCAAAAGAAGACTTCCTACTTCACCAGGCTCATGTGGTAGAGAGGAATAACATCTGGAAGGGATTATAGGGTTCAACTTCTATGAATTGAGGAAGAAATGGGAAACATGGGACAGCAGGAGGCTTTATTCCTTCATCTTCCCCTTTCTCAAATCCCCACACCCCTTACGCACTCTAGATATCTTTCAGCTCAGCTCCCTTCAAGGTATTTCTCACCTCAGAATTGTTGAGCTTGGGATCATTCACTTTAGAAAGGAAATCACTAGCAGTTTTCTTAAGATCATCCTCAGGTTGATATTCCTCATACCTGTGTTCACAAAGAACATAAAAAGGCAAAGAGCTGGTCTGATACTAGGCCACACTGAACTCCTTCACTAATACTGGTCTACACAAAGGGGGAGACAACATTATGCACGGATACAGTCTCTCCCAAAAGACTCCAGTGGGTCTCCACAGTACTTTTAATCAATGTGCAAAAATTCAAAATTATTACTAAATTGTACAAATTACACAAACAGCAGCAGAGTTAAACAATTATGATGACAGCACAGTTCTGCAGAACAGCCTAAATTACTTGGCAGGCTAATATGCTATCAACCATCACATGTTTTAATACTGCCAAAGACAAGGTCATACATCTAGGAATAAAGAAAGTAGGTCATCCTTACGGAACAGAAATTGTATCCTGAGAAAGCAGCAACTCCAAAGAGGATTTAAGGTTCATAGTTAGCATGCAACTCAACACGTTTGCTTTTGTTTTGCTTCTTTAATTGAAAAACTTGACTGTGGTCAACAAGTACCAATACAGAGTAGATTTCTAATACTAGAGGGTTCTTTTAATCTACCACACAGAAACATAACATTATCTGGGAGGCTGAAATCCAGAAATATGCAGAGGAAAGGCTGGATATAGTCTGTCAAACAGGAAGAATAAGGTGATTAAAGGTCACAATTAGTGGAGTCCACCATTTGAGAGCTGCAAGTCTAAAAAAGCACCTGTTGTAAAAATCAAGTTCTGCGCAAGCAAGAGTTACTGAACTCACTACTGAAGTCATTGAAATCACTTTATGTTAGGCATGAGATCATCCAGCCTAACCTAATCAGAATACCTTCCTGGAACTAGAAAAAAAAGAAAAGCTGCGATCTCTTAAAAATCTCATTCTTCAAGCATTGTTTCTTCCTTTCTCTGAAACCAAAAGCCTGAGAATGCTGATTTTGCTTAAACCACTCAATAGCACTAAGGTCACACAGGATTTCTGTCACCTACCCACACTTCACTCATCCAGGTGCCCAGCAGCAATAGCTAGTGTTGAGAAGAGAAACTCACCATTTATCTGCCAACGACTGGTCTTCCGATTCCCCGAGCCACAGTTTCTCCTCTGACTGCTCTAGGTATTCTTCTGCCCACTTGGCAGGAGACACAGAGAGTGGATCTGCATAGGACATGGGGGAAAACAGGAAGTAGAGTAAGGTGGGTAGAACATCACTCAGATTAACTTCAGATTTTGCCCTCTCAAACTTACATGCAGTTAGCTAACATCCACAGGGAAGACTGCTTCAAAGAAAGATTGTTAATGCATATTTATTCTGTTTGTTTATTCTGCTCCAAAAATCGAGCCTCGGGTTCAGAGAGTCTCCTCAGAGAGATGCCACTGCAGTAATATGCCAGCGTCCTTAGGATTTCCTACTTCAATTTCACAATTTACTCTGTTGCTCTGTGTGAGATGCCATGTAGGTCAGGAAAATTAGCAATCTATTACAAGTCTCTAGTGCTTTCCATCAGGCCCTAGCAAGCGTTGAGGCTTTATGGTACCTACTCCCAGGAATATAAAGAGAGAAGGTGAGTGAATGGGTCTACCTGGCTCTCTACAGTGGCTACTCCTGGGGGAAGAGAATAGCATCTATTTAAATCGTTCCCATCATTTCCAAGCTAGGTCATAGATGGTCACAGCTCTGTACACAAAGCAAGATGGCTTTTCAGATAAACTAGTACCTTGCTTGGAACACAGAGCTTATCCTATGGGTCAGAAACACACATAAACAAGAAGAAGCAGTACCAGCCCACCTCCAGAATTTGCAGCAGTATGAATCATATATTTTTTTTTTTTTATAAAAACAGTTTGAATAGCCTGCTTCTACTAAGTTTTGCAAGTAATCCTGGCTAAAAAAAAAAAAAAAAAGCCCCTTACACCTGAATAGGAGCATCCTCACCGGATAGCGAGCAATTTGGCTAAGCTATTCCAAAGCAGCTTCTTTTCATGTTCACACTACTACAAAAAACACTGACTTCTTGGGCCCAAACAGTTACTCCAATTTCATATCCAGTAACTCTCCACTGTACAAAAACATGCGACTGGGCAACACCTCAGCCTTACTTCCAAAAGGGAGTCGTCACCTGTCACTTCAGCTATGAACTCCTGTGACCAGTCAGCCTCGTTGTAGTCTGAAGAGACATCACCAGTGCCATCTGCCTGAGCCAAGAACTCCTGGGTCCAGTTTTCAGACAGCGCCAAGGCTGCCACACCTGGAGCTACAGGAAGGAAAACATACATGAGGATGGGAGGACTCAGAGACATGATTTAAATGTCTCAGGCTCCTTCAGATAGCCATCATCTTCTCTGATCAGGTCCCTTTCTCTCTGTTAGACCAGAATCACAGGAAGATTTCACTTGAAAGGGAGCTCTGCAGGTCTCCAGTCTTCTCACAGCAGGGTAACTCCAAAGCTGGATCAGGTTGCTCAGGGGCTTGTCCAGGCAACTACTGAACATCTCCAAGGATGGTGATTCCCTGGTCTTTCTGGGTACCTGTTCCAGTGCTGAATCATCCTCCAAGGAAAGAAACTTTTCCTTACATCTATAGACAGCTTCCCTTTTTACAACTTGTCCCCACTGCTTCTTGTCCTTTTGTTGTACATGACTGCAAAGATTCTGGCTCTGTCTCCCCATTACGTAGCTGAAGGCAGCAATTAGATCCCATCTTAGCAATTAGAATCCTCTTCTCCAAGCTGAACAGACACAGTTCCCTCAACCTTTCCTCTTCCATCATGTATTTCAGCCCCCTGACATCATCTCACAAGTGCTGAATAGAGGGGACCCAACCTACTGGGAGCCTAACCAAACTACAAAGGTCTTTTCCTGCTCTCCACATACTGCAGCGCCTCTCACCTCGCTGAGGGGCCTGTCGGAAGTTTGACTGCTCAATCTCCTGCATCTCAGCCAACAGGTCATCCATCTTAAAGGTCTGGGGTGCACGGGACAGTAAAGGGGCATTCTGCTCTTGCAGGAACTCTCCAACCAACTGCGAAAGAGACAGATGGAGAGTGAATATAGTGCAGAAGACAAACAGGCAAAGTAATGGAGCATGCGAGAAAGGAGCAGGCTAGGTAGAAAGAAAGAACAAACAGAGAAAAAAAGTATCAACTGAAGTGTTAAGAGAAAAAGTAGTAAGGAAATATATCAGCCTGTTCTTACCTCATCTTCAGAGGCCACTCCCAGCGGTTTGGATACCTGCAGGGAACAGTGGGCAATCACCCCAACAGCTTTGACACTGTACACCTCACACACCAAGGCCTGATAAATTCACATCCTCCTCTTCCTCGAAGTTAGGCTAGCAGCACTTTCTTAGCACTACCTGCCTGCTTACGCAGAAGCCGAAGGAGAAGAAACAGCCCCAGCGATGTTTGCCTAACTGCTCCCGCTCTGGGCCGACCCCCACGGCAGTAAGGCACGCAGTCCACCGCAGCCATCCATATCCCCCCCAAAAAACCAGTAGGGCCCCCAGAGTCCCTCCGGCCTGCACGCCCCCACTCCGCGCTCACCG